AGTTCTGTGTACTTGCTAATTTTTTCAGTGCATGTGTTTTGTACATTGTGAGTGTTTGGAATGGCTATGTCTATAATGTATGTGATTTTATTGTGTTTGTCAATGAGTGTGATGTCTGGTCTGTTGTGATAAATTGTTTTATCTGTGATTATGGCTCTGTGATTATTATTATTATTATTATCATCATCAACCTGTCTCGATTATATATTAGATTTAAGTATATATCAATGTATATTTTATTTTAAACATTAAAAAGTATTAAATTAAATCATTGTAATTATAAGTCATTATTTGTTTATTTAAAAATGTATAAATTATTTCCATTGTAAAATTAATTTTAATAATTTTAAGTTAAAAAAAGTTTCATTTTTTTATATACAAAGTAAAAATAATTTTCAATATTGCTATTTTTAAATTTTCAGATGTATAAATTTTACAAAATTACAGCATTATTTACTACTAAATAACACAATAACAATTATCCTAAATTTTTCCATTATAATTCTAACTCCACTTTAGCTTTTTTAATTGTTAAATTTTTTAATATTTGTTTGATTATAAGTTTCAACTAAAAAATAATTGAAATTAAATATAATTCATGGTTTGTTAAATTATACTAATTTTATATTGTGTAATCTAGGAGAATGTGAGATTATTTCATGCAAAAGATAATTCAAAGAACAGAGTCCTTCGAACTTTATACATTAGAAATAGAAATCAAAGTAACAGACGATTTAAAGAATAAAATTCATTATTGTGCAATACCTTTGTAACCAACAAATGGATTTCAAATAAAATTTTCAGAGCAGATTGTATATGTACAATCTGCTCAGTTGCATGGCATTTAATTATGACACACTTGAAATTAATCATTCAAGGTTAAATCAAGCATAGAGATGTGCAAAACAGACCCCTCCCAAATCATCTCTTTAATTAATATACCACGTCAACTGTCTTAATTATATAGGAAACCTTGTTTTCCTATATAATTAAGACAGTTTTCTTTTAGAACAATATCTAAAATTAATGACAACTATGCTGTTTATGTAATAATGTGCAAAGACAACATTTGTATTTTGTGTGGCTGGAATTACCCTATAATTTAATAATGTGCCTAGTATCAACATCTATCTATATAAAAATGAATGTGTGTGTGTGCTTCATGCATTACCACACCGTTTATCCGATTGCCGTGAAACTTTGGGAAGTTGTTTAATACATTCCATTTCTGGCATAGTACATTTATCCTACGATAGATAGCGCAATCCTATGATAGAGTGTATACAAGCATTTCATCGTGAGATCGATGGATTTCAAATTGTGAAAACCATTTCCCCCCTCCAAAAAATATCTCTATATATGCATTTGTAAACTGTTATTTACGATATTCATAATAATTTTTGTTTAATCACTTTATTTCAACTATGTTTTGCTAATTATGTATTCGCTTGAACTTTGTTAAAACCTTAACTGTATCCCGAACAATAACCGAAGTTGTAGGAGGAAATTCGCCTATTTTACCGATCTAGGGATCCTTTTTTCCAAATTTTAACAACTGAAAATAATTTAAAAAGACAAATTACAATAAAACAGTTTATTATCCAACTATCAGAAATTTCACAACATACCAAGGAAGAGAGGAAGGAGCAATTAAATAATCAAAATTATAAAGGATTTAAAAAAATATATAAAAATGGAGAATATCGCACTTCTGACAATCGCTGCGTGTGAGCTAAATTTGGAGAATCTGTGCTTCTCGCATGGACAACTGTATGTGGCCAGCAGACGCGTCCAAAAATCCGATTTATTCGTGTATGCACCAGACGGAAAAACAAAAAATATTGTGTATCCACAGGCACTCCAATAAATAAATAGAATTGAAACGACACTTTGAAATGTTTCCCGATGAAAATGAATAATAATAATAAATTTTAATAAAAATGATAAAATGTAAATTGAATTTTATCATAACGAGTTTGCTTGAATTTCCTTTCTTCTGAGATCACAGCAATGCGCGATGGGTAAGCTAGTTCTTTATAAAATGCTGTCTTTTACTAACAAGGTTTCATTATTTTATGAAAAATCTTTCCTTACACTTACTCTATATTATACAAATAAATTATAATACACTCAAAAAATGTATTATTCTTATGAAATACTGAATTTATTCATAATTAAACAATCCATCCAAAGTTTTGATTGGTATCCTCTGAAAACAGCAATCTTTGTAGAATAATTCCTTCATGAATAAAAAATTTAAATGAATATCTATCTAATATTAAAACTAAGTAATTACTGAATTATATTGGAATATATTACTATTATTATTAATTATATCTAATACAGTGGAACCTTGCATAATAAGCAAAACAAATTGTAAAACATTGCCTCACTTAATGAGATGTTTTGCATAACAAGTGACGAGGAGAGACAAAGTCCTGAATTGTGCACATGCTCCATCAGTCTGTGTTCTCACTTGTTTCGCTAGCATCTTAGTGTCGCTTTTCCAAACGTGTGTTCACACATATTACTTTAAAACATCAACAACCATAGCCCGTTATATAATAAACACACCAAAGATATGCCAAATTCTTGGGATATGTAAAGGCTATACAGGTAACCCCCGTATAACACGGCACTTCTATAGCACAGATTCACTCTAACACAGTTCGAGAGTTGGTACCATCCCCCGTATAACACGGTACTTTTATAACACAGATCCACTCTGACACGGTTCGAGAAATGGGTAAAACCCTCGTACAACATGAAATGTAATAAATTTTTACATACTTAAGTACTAATAGTTCACGAAAATTATTATTTTCGTGAACTATTAGTACTTCAGTGTGTAAATTTTCTTTTCTCGTCTCCATACACATGGTCCTTCGCGAAAATTGTTTCAATTTTGCCAGATCTCGACGCTTCTGCTTCTGGTGTTGCCAGATGTTTTTCCCTTATTCCATAAGTGCTTAGCACCATATAAGGAAATTTATAAAGATCTTTTAACTAGAAGCAAGCAATCTAAAATTACATACACTTTTTGCAAAAGGTAAAGCATGAATCTGAAAATAATGCAGAAAAATGCTCAGAGGATAACGATAACTTGCCAAAAATAAAACGCTCTCGGTTAATAGTGCTTTTAGTAATGACAAAGAAAACATTGTTTAATTTATATTAATATGTATCACTTAAGAAAATTTTAATAAAGATATTCATCTTAATTATGAAAATATAGTAGCATGTTTTTTAATTTTTGGAACCTAACCCTCCTTTTCGTACTAGTTCTTTGATTCGCATAACATGGCAATTTTTTGGAATGTAACTACCGTGTTATACGGGGTTACCTGTAATTAAATATTAGAAATTAATTAGTTTGACTAGAGGTAGGTAGTCATGCTGCCATCTCGTATTAAATTTAATGACCAATTCCAAATTAAATTTTAGAAATGTCTGAATTAACAATAACTATTTATAATTATTAAATTTAATATGAGATGGAAGCATAACTACCTATCTCTAGTCAAATTAATTATTTTCTATTATTTAATTATATCCTTTACATAGCCCAAGAATTTGACATATCATTTGGAGTGTTTATCAAACATATTATCTGTGATTTTTTTTCCTGCAAATTGAATTCTCAATCCAGGTTGGTTCATCCTGAGCTAGAAGAAAAGATGATGATGATTCATGCTCATTAACAATGCACATTGCACAATTTTCTTTGAATAAACATTATACACAAAAATTTTTGAAAATTTTTTTGGGGTGGAACACATTATCCTATTTTACATTGATTTCTATGGGAAAAATTGTTTCGCTTAACAAGTATTTCGCATTACGAGTATGATTCTGGAACGAATTATGTTCATTAAGCGAGGTTCCAATGTATAAAAATTTCAAAGTATTAAACATTTTTGAATTAATTGTAAATCACACTAAAATCATACTTAAATGAGTCTCAGTTTTATATTTTCTGTTTATTTTTGTGATAAAATTACATTCAAATAATAAAACATACCTTTGAAATTGTAAGTGCAAGTGTCCAATTATGATGAATTGAATCAATTCCAATATCACCATGTCTACTTATATTTGGATGAAATATTTTTGTAATAAATCGTACTACTGGTGGTTTCATTGGATAACTAAAATATAAATAATTATTATTTTAAAATTTAAATAAAAAACAATGAATTGAAAATACTGTGTACAGTTGATATTGTATTTCAAAAATCAAACTTTAAATAGACTTAACTAGTTAAATATTATGCCATTAAATTAATAAAGATTTCTAATGTTACAAAACGTAATGGTATTTTTAGAACATTAGTGAGGTTGCGGCCGAAGTTTTCAACATGAAAATGTAAACATCTGACATTCAGTACCATTTTCCTGTAAGCCTAGAAGTTTGAATTAAGTCTAATGCAAAATTTTTGCATAGTTTCTTCTATAAACTTGTATTTTCTAATTTATTTTAATCAATTAGTACTATAAAATTGTGGAATAATGACATGAGAGAATGGCCGCCTTTGGAATATCCAGGTATTTTCGAATATATTTGAATATATTGAAATTCTTAATTACAGAAGTCTTGACTCTTACAATTATTTTTCAAGTGGTAAAGTAACTGAAATTTTAATTAATAAATTGTCACAAAACATTTGTGTCTTTAAGATAAATGTACAGACATCAGAAACCTTATCTGCAAGTACAGTAGACCCCCTATAATACAGATTCATATAATATGGATTTGTATAACATGGCGAAAAAATTGCAATTGTATTCATATAAACATGCTAAAAGAGACTTGTATAATATGGTAAAATGTCATTGCCAACTTGTGTCACGACAGGATTGGTCAAATCTAGACCAATAGTGGACATTGCACAAACCATTGAGTTTAAACGTGCAGTGGACCTACTAAAAACAATTTATTATTTAACGGCCATAAAAATTATATTTATATTAATGATGTCTCCAAAGTTCAGTGAATTTTTTGCAGAAAAATAATTTATCAGGAAACATGTGCCCACCATTCAATGTGCTGCTCCACAATGAAAACAAGCTTAAGCAATGGTGTCGTTGAACAGTGCACACTCGGTAAGTAATCCTATGATTTTTTTGTTTATAGCATAGTTTATATAAATTATTCCCAAAAAATTATACGTATTTTGGAAATGTTGAATCAAATTAGTCTAGAATTGATTAATTTTATGGAAGAAAACTTTTCAAACAGCCATAGTCCCTAAACCGCACACATGCTGGGATGTGATTGGCTCATGTATTTAAGTGACTCATAAAACACGGAATTCATATAAAACGGAATGTATCTACCGTGTTATAGGGGGTGTACTGTAATCATTTTGTATGAACTTGTGTCTAATGATGGAAAGTTATTTATCTAGATAGCTGTACTGTATATGGATGGCTGGTTACACATTCTCTTCTTAAATTTTCATCATGTGTACTGTAACTGGAATGGTCAAATACATGGACAATCTTGATGCATCATGTTTTCATGTGTATCGCATACAGCTTTAAACCACTTATAAAGAACTAGTAGCCTGGGACGACCCCTAGTGGGTGTTATTTACAAATTTCCATGAGGCACGGTTCCTTTGACTTTCTTGTTCCTATCAATATGCTGTACAGCTCTGTTAAAGTCCCAATGGTAAGATTTACCCTCCGAATGAAGAGGTGGCGACCCCCCCAAACTGTAGCCCCTGTGCGAACAATAAAGTCAAAGGAACCATACCCCTACTCATGACCCTTCGCGAGATATAAGCCCCTGAAATAATAAATTCCTATTACAAATATACTGAATTATTTATATTGTTATATTGACCAAATAATAATTTATGGGCCAAATGAATAATAATAATTTTTTTTTTTCAAAAAATCCTTATGGCAGCTGCTATTTCATTGTGAATGTGTCTCTTTAATCCGATCAATTCCGTTCGGTAGACTATCATATACAGCTTTCAGGTTAGGTACTTCTTTTAATGGTTTGTCATATGCATTTCGGACTTATTTGTATTTTAAGTCCCTCTTCAGTTCAAAAGTACAAACTCAGGTTGTTTTTTTAAAAAACCCCGGTTTATAACTGGTAACGTTGGAAAGAGTTCTTTTAAATGGCTGTATTTTTTAAACTCTTTCCAATGTTACCAGTTATACACTGGGGTTTTTTAAAAAACAGAACCTGAGTTTGTACTTTTGAACTGAAGAGGGGACTTAAAATACAAATAAGTCCGAAATGCATATGACAAACCAATAAAAGTAGTACCTAACCTGAAAGCTGTATATGATAGTCTACCGAACGGAATTGATCGGATTAAAGAGACACATTCACAATGAATAATAATAATTAAAATTGTTAATTTGAATGTTTGAAATATGACATACGATAGGGGCACCTTTAGTGTCCGTTATCAAACGGTTACGCGGACAGACACCCGTTGAATGGGTTATATATACAGTAGACCCTCCCTATAATGCTTAGATATGTTCCACGCTAATCGAATTTTACGTTGTAGGAATGATTAAATACATGAGCCAATCGCAGCCCGATAGGTGTGAACTTTACGGACTAAGGCTGTTTGAAAGGTTTTCTTCTATAAAATTAACCGATTCTAGACTAATTCCACTCAACATTTCCAAAACACGTATAATTTTTTGGGAATAATCTGTATAAACTATGCTATAAACAAAAAATTATAGGATTACTTACCGAGTGTGCACCATTCGACTACGCCCATTGTTCAAAGCTTGTCATCGTCGCGGAACAGCACACGAAACGGCGGCCGCGATTTCTGATAAATAATTTTTCGCAGAAAAATAACTTGACCTTTGGAGACATCATTAATATAAATAATTTTTATGGCCGTTGAATAAGAAGTGTTTCTTTCACAAGAAATGTATAAAATTAGTGCTGTATTAGACTTACGGTACCTAATTTACATACTGTACAGACGATAATAAACTCAACTTACTAGCCTAAAATCTCCGTAGCGTGTTGCCAGGCGGCAGAAAGCATATATATAATTATAATAAAGTTACAATAAATTAAGTTAATATATAATTATATATACAGTACCTAATTTATATATAATTAATATATAATTATATGTACAGTACCTAATTTATATATAATTTATATATAATACTGTACAGATGATAGCAAACTCAATTTAGCCGCTCCGTAGCGTGGCGCAGGGTCGGAGGAAAGTAGTTCGGCTGCTCATCCACTATTGGTCCAGATTCTATCAATCTTGTTGCAAAACGACGTTATAGGAGGTACTTTATACGAATGTTGCTACAATTTTTTCGCTACGTTATAGGAACGCACGTTATAGGGGGTCGACTGTATATAGATTCTCTGGCTGTTATGGCAGAGAATTCTACCTGCCATATCTACCTGAATTAGTTTTATAAGGCATGAAGCCATTAAAAAACTAAAAATTGCAGACCTACACTAATGACTAGCAGTATCTTAATGGCTGCCAAGACATACCCTCATGTGGCAGAATTCAAAAACGTTCTGGAAACTTGTGGATATACTCTCAGTCATCTGACATTCTTGTTAATCTGGTATTCCTCTGTGTAAGGAATGCCCAGACTAGCAAGTAACTAATGAATTTGAATGGAAAAATTAGGAAAACATGACATGTTTTCAAAAAATTCACAAAGCTTTCTACAGAAAAATTTTGCAATAAATGTAATATTATGCAATCTTTAATAATTTCAAATATCTTACCTATTTGCTTAAGATTTTAGTGCAAAAATAATTGGATATGTTACATAATTACATAATTAAAATTTTTCCAAAAACAAAGTTTAATTCCCTGATAGAAAGTTTATTTTTACTTAACAATGCTATTCTTTTATAAACTGATATTAAAAGTATTATCTATGAAATTAAATAGAGAATTATTAGATGTGCATTTTTTTAATTTACTAAAAATTTTTAAAGTTAATTTAAAATTTAGCAAATTAAAATAGTTATTTTAGTTTAAAAAAATTATTATTTGTTGTTGCATTTCCTTTATTTTTATTATATGCAAAGACAGATTAAATTGATTGCAACTACAGAAAAGATAAAAAGTTAATATGAAAAATTTGAAGAGAGAGAAAAATGTATTTCCGGAAACATTTTGAGAAAATAGTCATAGAATGAAATTATGATTTGCAATATTATTTAATTTCTTTTTATACCAAGTATCAAGAATTACTCTTACTATTTTCAGAATTTATTTTCATCATAAATCGTTTTGATTAAAAATAGTAGTGTAAATTCATTATTTTTCTTTATCTTTTAATATAAAATTATTATTTTTTTAAAGATTCATTTTAAAATTAAAAAGTACACTCATGACAAAAATGTGAAAAAAAAAAACATTCTAAGTTTAGAACATTGCCTGTGTAGAAAATTGCCAACCATCCTCCACTATACTATACTGTCATCTCATTTTCTCTTTATTGGGCTGCAATTTGAAAAAATTGTAGACCTATACATTCCCACTGTTGTTCCTTAATCTCGAGAACAGATAGCTAGATGAAAGACAAGACAAGACATGGAAAGCTTAGAGATAGGAAGTCCCAATTAACTATACATACAAACTTCAATGCAAACTGGAAGTCATGCTATTTTAATTCAAACTTTTCCCCTGAAAGGAATTAATAGATGACTGGAATGACACTATTGTTAAAGGAAAGTATGATGTACAGGGGCAAGCCACTACTAATTTGAGGTAGAGAGTATATATTTTAAATTAAATAAATTAAAAAAATATGATTAAAAATTGCAGCCTGGCATTGTGACAATGTCACAATAAAAAATTGGTCATCAATAATAGCTTCCTTTTTTTAAACACGATAAATACAGGTATACCTCGCCTTACATTGGTAATTGGTTCCAAGAGAGACGACTTAAGTCGAAAAATGACGTGAGTCGAATTTACTTGTCTCTAGGCTAAACTACAAATAACCATTCCCAGTTCTGTATTTTATTTATAAATGCACTTTTAATAATATATAGTTAANTATAAGGTAATGAGAAAAATTATGTTTATTATTTAAAGTTTTTAATACTTATTTATAATGTTCTGTAATCTTTATTGAGGAGTTTCTTCATATTTTATGTAAGATGTTTTTGTAAAAAAATTTCAATTTTAATTTAGAAAAATAAAATGTTGATTGAGAAAATGTTTTCTTTCCTATTAAAAGTAAACAATTCGATTTAATTTAGAAAGAGAGAAAAGACAATTCATCCCAATGGATACAAACTGTAAAACGGAAAAAGCTATTTAATTTCTAAATTGGGTCCATTTCGACTTTCTTTGTGAAGAATTAAGCTCTAACTAGGAGCATTTGTTTCTTCATTAGATTATTTAAAAATGTAAGAGAATCGAGTCCCAGAGAGAGGTGTAGACAAAGTGTTTTCTGACCATTTTCTAAAGGTATCCGTATGGGCCACTCAATCAGACAGGTCTCTAGTGGCTCCACTTGTCACATTTGACATATTAATCAATCAGAAAACTATTTCTTCTTCACAAAGTGCTCTACCCTTAGGAAACTATATATTGTAATTACTATAGTGATCCTTGTAATTAACGTAATAATGTTAATAAAAATAATTAAATTTTATATTAATTATTTTACTAAGTTAAATAATAGAATAATACAATCAAACTATCTTACCTTTGAGGAATTTGTAAATATAAAAAGAACTGTCCACCTTCATATGGACTATCAATAGGTCCTGTTATACTTGCTTGCCAATGGCAACAAGTTTTGTCCAATGGTTTTGCATCAATCCCTTCTGGAGGATCTGACTGCAAAGATTTGAGTTCATTTTTTAACCTAACAGTACGCCAAGAATTATCAATTGGAGGTGGCTGTGTCTGAAATAAAATTTATACAATAAGTTGTAAATATAATTTTAATTAATATTCCATTTCTTTTCTGAAATTATATTCTCTGTTTTTAAATGATGAACAAATATATTTTCAAATAAATGATTTAGCATCTAATCAATATTTAATTAATATACTAGATACATCCAACACACCTTATTGCTGAGAACATATATTTATTACATAAAACTAACATTTTCGGCCCAATTTATGGGCCATCTTCAGGTTACAGTTGTTCGACTCTAATACAAAATCGAACACGTTCAAAATTAAACCAAATTAGAACATATGTTTAAATTAAACTAATAGAATAAGCATAACCAAAATAAAACAATAAATAATAAAAACCAAAATAACATAAAAAATGAAAATAAAATACGGTGATTGGCCGTAAACATTAAGGAACAATTTCTTATACATTAACCCAGATACCTATTGAGTCACGGCAGACGCATTATTACGCGTGTTACGTACTTCTTACTATGTATTTCCAGGATGACGGTAACACCGTCGCATCCTTATAATTTAAACATCTGTCAGCCAAACTCGCTCTGTAAATTTCGCATTTCTCAGTTATGGATGACAGCGTTGGTGAGCGTACTTTTGTAAGAATTTTTGCATCCTTCCATTTAACAACCGAACCATCCGCTTGCGCCATTTTGGATAATGCTGTTGCACACTTGTTTTTTGTGACATTGTATCGGTGCTCCTTAATCCTCACTCCAAGGTTTCTATTAGTGACCCCTACGTAGTCCTTATCAATTCCCAACTGGTCATTTTTGTAGGGAATTGCATATACTCCTGCCTGTTCATTCACTTTTCACTTTTAAATCCTTTATTTACAAGTGCCTCGACACCGCTAGGCATAGCCGAGGTAAGAATACATAAATGTTACAGATGTAACAGGTCATTTTGTAATACAAATTTTCATAGAGTATAAAATGATACACAATATACATGAAAACATATGAATAAACATTATCATCAATTCTTTCTTTGTCATTTCTAATCAACCTATACACTGTGGGGGCCCTTTTACATATTATACTGGCGTTTTTGTGTCTCACTATTTGCTTCATAATCGGGAAGAGACATTTATTATACGTAAACTTTGCGAAGTTACTCCCAGCCTCCGGTTTCTTCTTAGAGCTGCTCCTACGCTTTACGTACACTGCTATTAAACGCTCTATAGATCTTGTTCCAAACCCTAACTCTTTTGCAACCTTTTTGATCCTATCCAGCTCATCCATAGTGTCCATTATATTTGAGCAATACAAAAACGCTCTTCTGATTAGCGTCCTAAATGCGGATAATTTATAAACCGTTGGGTCATTAGAATTTGCCGGAATATACATCAAATCATGTGTGGGCATGATGTACCCTTCATGCATAAAGTTCCATTCTTAAATTCAATACCAACGTCCAAGAAGTGTAGCTTCTTGTTACTAATTTGCTAAAGGTTAAGTTTTAAGCCATGTTGGTTAGAGTTCACTTGGTCTAAGAATCGTTGTATCATTGCGTCATTCTTCCAAATAATTAGAATATCATCTACATATCTTTTGTACACGATTATGTATTCATTATAGTTGAAAAGCGTCATGCGTTCCATCTTTCTCACCACCAACTCACAGAGCAGGCCAGACATCGGGTTGCCCATCAAGACTCCTCTTAACTGCTTATAAACTTTACCTTGGAAACTGAAAAATGACTGAAAGCATATCAGATCAACCATTATCTCTAAATCTTTTCTGTGTTCGTATGCTTTTGGGTGCAACCCACATAACAGGTTCACTAACTCCTCAAAACATGAGGTAAGATTTATTGATGGAAACATACCCTCGAAATCCATAACCGTCCCAATCTCATTGTCCATTAACGATAGATCATGCAGGTCATTAACCAAACTAAACGCGTCCTTTGTGACAAATTGGTAGTCTTCAATTAGTTGTGTTAAATGCCTATGCATACGTTTTTCCAGAATGTAGGTTGGTCCTTTACACTTCTCTACTACTGGTCTGATCTCTTTACTGTTTTTATGTGTCTTTGCGAACCCAAACAACCTAGGTACACCTGGGCAGGTAATGTGGGCCCCTTTTAGGAAAGGGAATAACGATGCTATGGGCGATTTTTCCAGTCTTCTTAATTTTCTGTCAATTCTTTCAACAATACCTCGGTCTACCTCTTCACACTCCGTTTTTCTTATATAGTCATCCAGGGCTTCATTATACCTTTGTTTCTTCATTAAGTTGCCTGATGAATGTATATCAGTACGGGAAAGAGTAAGAGTGCTATGCTTAAATAATTCAATTAAAGTGTGTTTGATGTATCTAGTATATTGCTTAAGAAGCTGAGTCTGAGTAAGTGATCAATATTTAATCTCCTAAATGACATAATTTAATATGAAATCTAAATGTTTTCCATATAAAACATTAAATTTAAAATGGTTCTATTCATCTCATTACTATATAGTCTAAATAGTAAATATGTTCTTATAAATGTTTTAGTATATAGCTTTAATATTTAAGATTTTCTGTTGTACATACTTTTGGTTTAAATTTAGCAATTTGAAAATAGATAGAAATAGTCAATAAAGGATTCTGATACTATTTAATTTCTCATTCTTTTATACCATCTAAAATCTCTTCATACTTCAGTAAATTCTTATATTTATTTTTAAAAAATTTCATAAAATATTCTGTTCCTACACTCCCATCCTCAAATTAAAAGATTAATTTAATAGCTAGATAGAAATCAAAGTACAGTAAAATCTTAATTTAATGGATTTAAAAGACTTCAGATTTAATGGACAAAATTTCTGGTCTTTATGACACATGTTAAAATTAACACCCTATTAATTGCATATAAAGAAAATTTTAAAATGAAATTAACGTGTTATTTTTATTTAAATTCAAAAGTCATTGCTCGTAACTTCAAGCCACAACAGGAGTTTCAATATATCATCTGAACACAAATAGGAGACAAATAGGAATTTTTTTTGTTTTGTCAAATTTAAATTTTGTTTACTTTTTAAGAACATTTATTTATTTCTTTAGTTAATTTAAATGCAATTAATGTGTTATTTTCCAAAAATGTTTGTTTATTTCAATTTAGATTGGATATGTGTTTATTACGGTTTCATAATTACATGGAGTACATAAGCATTATTACATGTAGACGACTTTTCTGTGAAATTAAACTTCTCATACATACCTATTTTAATTATACAAACATACCTACATAAGTAAAAACACATTAACTAATTTGCCAACTTTTTTTAACAAGTGCATTCAGAAAATCTACTTTATTATATAATGGACTTTAATGAACACCCCTTGCCCGAATTAGTCTGTTAAATCGAGGTTTTACTGCATAATTTTTATCTAGCTATTATATATAAATTTCTGCATTATATTCAGGAAGTAAAAAATTAATCACAAGACACTATAAACATATTACAAGAAATAGAAAACTTAAATTTCAGATTATTAATCCAAGTTCAGATGAATAATAAATATGTTTTGTAGCTGAAAATCAAAGGTGTCCAAAGGCTGCATATGTATTATGCAGAGTAATTATTGTGCATCATCTTAATTCTATTTTGTTTATAAATGAAACATAGTAAAAGAAATAAATGAAAACAATGTTACATCATTTATTAAAGAATAAATAAACTTCACACTGCGCTTTTTTAAAGAAACATTTTTTATTCTGAAATTAAAAATACTTTCTTTAAAAAGGGTTTTAAAAATCTCTCTCTAGGAAAAACTACATAAAATAACTCTCTTTATTACAAATATTCTATCCCTCAGTCCCTGATATCCTTTTATAATTTAAATATATATTCACAGCCCACTTGTTTAAAAACAGAACTACAATATAGCCCATGAATCCCAAAATATTTCCAAACTCCTGCTCTAGATCACCCAAATTTATTTTAGCTTCACATTTAAAAAAGTAAATTATGCATTATAAAAAAAATTCTATCTCAATTATGTCTTTAGTTGTGAGAATAAACTTTGTTCTATGCATGATTCATAGCAAGATATTTCGAATTTATAATTTTTTTTATATTTTTATCCATTATCATACATAAAATACTACACTACTAAAATATAATTAACAATAATCTCATCATACATCATATATATATATATAACCTTCAAGAACTCTTCCTTCTAATCATTTGGAATTTACTTGAGTGTGAAACTCAACTGATTAATTTTATTTCAATACATAATGATATATATGTATTTTTTAATTACAAATCCCTGAAATTTATTCACTGAAGCATGGATTAAATTTTTGTGTTTCCATTTATCTTACTTAGAATTGAAGTCTTATAAAAAAAATACTAAAAAATTTATTGATTTTTAAATAATGTAACAACCTTAACCACTTTAATGTCATCTGTAAATTTTTTAAGCTATAAAATTTTACTTTCATAATGTTTAATGTTTATTTAACACCAAAAATGATCTTTACATCAATTTACTTAAGTTTTCTTGCAACAAAAACTTATTGCAATTCATTTGTATTAAAATTATTTTTTGTTTATTACTTATATACAGGCCTGGGAGTGCAATTTTCCCTCCAAAAAAGTGAGAAAAGTGAGTTGAAATACAGAAACAGTGAGTAAAAAGTGAGTGTAATAGTGACAAAATAAAGTGAAAACATAGAAGGAAAACTCAGCAAAATATCAGTAAAAGTTGTTTTTTCTGTTTTTATTCTGTTATGGTTAAATACATTTTAAAAATTTCTGTATACTGGTAATACAGTAACCACTTGTTATATCACGAATTTGGATATATCACGTTCTTTTGGTCCTCCAAATTTTAAAATACCAATTGCCATTGAATTTTATTTGCAACAAAATACAGTATTCACATTTCTACCATTGTCCTTGAAGTTACCACTGAAGGTGAAACAATAAATTCATCAAGATCTAAATATGCAAAACAGGTAGCTATATCAATTGTCATTTGTTTCCTTTTGATATTAAAAATTGTTTATTAGTTTTAAGTATCTTCTCCTCATTTACAAGTTTCTGTAAATTCGAAATTTCACACCTTTATGTGAATTGAGGCAATACAGCCAATTCACTTAAAGGTGTGAAATTTCAAATTCACTGCATAATGTGTAAGGAAAAGATTTCTTTAATTCTGAACAGAAAGTTCTTATACAGTAGTAACTTTATTTTGCTTTCTAGAGAATTTTTGCATTTATAATTTTTACTGACAAACATAAATTACACAAATTTNTGGTATTATTTCTTTGTATCCAATATATTGTAGTATTGTTAGTAATAATTAAATTGTTAATTTTATATTTAATGTCCTTCTTGTCTGGTATTCGTTCTTTATGCGCAAACCCACACAGGATCTTACCACTCGGGTTCTGTTAAAAATTAAGCCATCCAGTGACAAAGTGAGCAGGTCTAACTGATCTGACGATTAGAGGGCCTGGACCCTCGTCCGTATTCTCACATAATTTTTACTGAAAAACATAAATTACACAAATTTTTAATAAGCAATTTATTGTGAAAATAAATTGCTTATTAAATACTGTATAATAAAATCGTAACTGATATTTTGTTTTTATATCAACAATATTTGTCTTTAAATGTCATTGTTAAAGAAACAATGCTAAATGGGCATTTATGGTATCGATGTTTACATAAATGTCAATTAATACAATATAACCAAGAATAAAGTTCAGTTTTGAAAAACTAAGCTTATTTTATATCAAAAACACTTGCTGATGAAAGAATGGAGAATAGAGATTGCATAGCATGTATAATCTGTTTAGTATAAGCCCAGAATTTTTAGTACTCGGTTATATTGCGCTGTTTCTTTGTCTCCCAACAAGTGCGATATAATAAGAAGCTACTGCATTTCCAGTAAACCATAAATACTTAAAAAGTTTTTGGCATCTGTAAATAATCAGTAATGAAAAATGATGTTCTTTTATTCTGATTATTCTGATGTTTTCAGCTTCCTTCTTTTTTTGTTCCTCTTGCTTTTGAACACTTTTAACACTAACAAGCATTACATGTGCTGCCCGTACTTCATTCATGTTCTTGCTGTTAATGGCTTTCTCCAGTTCTTATTTTGTTTGCTGCTTTTAACAAAACTTGATGCTCTATCAGGAGGAAGTGCGCGGTGTGAAATTGAAAATACCCATTCCACATCCAGCATTGCCATGACAGAGGGTCAATGCTGATTTCACTACTTTGGCTACAGTGGGACATCTATCATGATCAAAAACTGTTTATTTTTTTTACTGCTTCGAGACATGTAAATATTAATTTCAAAATAAATTAATAAATCTGAAATAAACAGATTTCAAATAGTGTAAGTAAAATAATGTTTTATTAATGATTTCATAAATAACAAAGAACTTTTTCCTGCAGATGAATAAAAAGTCACATCGTTACAACATTGTTAATCTTTTGGGAAGCGTGTGAAAATTTTTCCTGCCAGTAATCACGTGTTTTATTTTTTTACAACACTTAAAATTTACCAAATAAATTAAAAGATTCGATATGTAAATATGAATTTACATTTTCATTTACTTTTTTAGTCTCAATTAATGCACAATTATAATCGGCACAAAAGAAGAGATAAAAAATGAATATTTCACAAATAAAGTAATCACACATTTTATGAAAATAATACTACACGAAATAATTATACTTGTAGTCAATTTACACATACATTTAGGAATATATAGATGTGATTAAACGTTAACAATATGCTATGAAATCATTAAAATAACTTTATTCTATTTAACTCAAGTTTATGAAATTATTTAAAAATAAATAAAGTAAAAAGTATTCTTGTAAATGACACCTCCATAACCAAATTGTTAATTAAAATCAAATGATCTGTTAAATTATTGGGCTATAACAAGAATAATTAAATGGTCAAAAACGAAATAATTTGTCTAGAAGTAGGAGGTTACGTGTTAATTTTTATAATTATAATATATTTTAAATTTATGTGTGGCAGCAGTGTTGTCAGCTTAAGAGATTAATCCCTAGGCAAGGCGTGTTATCCCCCTATAAAGGGATTTTCTTAGAAAACAGCCAAAAATGTTAAAACACTTATTTTTAATCCCCGTAGATAGAAATGCAACTCTGAAGAACTAGATTGCTAATAATGACAATATGGCATGGGTATATAACTTTACTCAATAATGGCTTCTGAATTTGTAATGAGAGGGATTTTTTTTTTAAGTGCAAGAAAGGCTTTCTACATACGTGAAAGGAATTTTTGTTTCCTATAACCTAACAACACAAAGCGGAAGTTGCGGTTTTGAGCCCCGCTCAGGGCCGAGTATTTTCTTCCAGAATTTTCTAGTCCGATAGTCTTGGCAAATCGTTTGGCTTTAAAATTATTTTTGATTGATCCCACATCTTAACTGAGCATGTGGAAATGACCAAAAAAGTGAGAAAAGGACCTGAAAGGTGAGAAAAGTGAGGATACTTCAGAAAAGTGACTACAAGTGAGAAAAGTGAGTGACTCTGAGGCCTGCTTATATAACTTGTTTTCCTCCTTACAAAAAAAAAATCATTCAATCAACTAAATGGAATTAAAATTTGACTTTTTAAAATATAAAAACTGTTTAATTATTTCAGATATATATTATCATTATTTTTAATAGCAATAAAAAAAATGTTATTGACTGCATGCTCAAACATAAAACAGACAAAAATATTTATTAGTTTATTATGTAAAGCATTTAAATTTATATTATATAAAATATGAAAATTATAAATATTAGAAAAATTCTATAATGTCACCTGCTCAGACATTTGATGAAGGCACAACAAACATGGTGCACTTTCTACACTGTAAAAATAAAACAAATTAGAATCTAATAGAAAATGTATCTAAAGTTATCTATTTTAACACATTCACTATTTTATATTATATTTTATATTTAATATTAGAAATAAAATACAATATAATCTTTATAATAATATAATCAAAGATGATTGAAATAACATATAATTTTTTAAACTCTATCATAACTTTATCAATATTTTAGCTTTCAGTATTTTTGTATTGCAGAAAATGCTAAAATAACTTCCTAGAATTAAAACATGTAGCAATATATTTTAAATATTGATTCAGCACAGTATGCCAAAGTTAATGCAGTTTTGCAGAAAGATACTAACTCATACAGTCGACCCCCCTATAATTACGGTCCCAATAATTACGATTCCTATAAAACTGCAAAAAAATTGTGACGGTATCTGTAAAAAACAGTAAAAAAACCTCCTATAATTACGTTAAACGTCATCGAGCAGCCGAACTACTTTTCCGCCGTCCGTAGCGCCACGCTACGGAGAGATTTCTATTGTCTGGACAGTATTATATAAATTATATATAAATTAGGTACTGTACATATAATTATATATTAATTATATATAAATTAGGTACTGTATATATAATTATATATTAACTTATTGTAACTTTGTTATAATTAAATATATAATTTCCGCCGTCTAGCGTGGCGCCACGCTACGGAGATTTTTACGCTAACTATCGTCTGTACAGTATGTAAATTAGGTACCGTAAGTCTAATACAGTACTGTAATTTTATACATTTCTTGTGAAAGAAACATTTCTTATTCAACGGCAATTAAAATTATTTATATTAATGATGTCTCCGAAGTTCAACGAAGTTTTCGCAGAAAAATAACTTATCAGAAATCAATCGTGGTTTGGTGTGCTGCTTCGTGACGAAAACAAGCTTTAGCAATGGGGTTGTCGAATGGTGCATACTCAGTAAGTAATCCTACAATTTTTTGTTTATAGTGTAGTTTATACGGATTATTTTCAAAAAATATATACGTATTTTGGAAATGTTGAGTCAGATTAGTCTAGAATTGATTAATTTTATGGAAGAAAACGTTTCAATCAGCCGTAGTCCGTAAACTTTACACGTGTTGGGCTGTGATTGGAACGATTCGTAAGAAATCGGATTCCTAAAAAATGAAACGTATCTATGATCTTATAGGGGGGTCGACTGTATTTAATTTTTCTAAAGAAAATCACAAAAGTTAAAAAAAAATAAATAAAACATAACTTATTGATCTGTACATTATAAAATTCTCAATTTAAATATCCTTGTTAAATTACAAAATAAATTTTCTGATATTTATACTCTATGGTTAACATTTTTCTGAAAAACTGCCAAATTAATTTATAAGGTATTAATTCAAAGTTATAGTAAATATTAAGAGGTTGTACTTTATTAAACTGTTTTGTAAGTTAACAAATTGATATAGAACATGCTAAAAGAAACAACTAAATATGATTTCAGGCTTTATTTTTCTAAAAATACAAAATGCATATTGATCTGCAATTGTGTCAGGTCCTTTTGACAGTTTATATAAATGATAGTGATATTCTCTTCTCTATGACAATGCTTTTATTTTTGAGCAATTGTTTTAATGGGATTGTATATACCTGAACATGAAAAATTATTCTATATTGGCTTTAATTGATACTGAAGAAATATCTTTCTACTTTTTCCAAATCAGGTATCATATCGTGTTGTTCCTTTAAGGAAAACAAAGAAAATTTCTGCTTGAAAGAAAAAAAAATCTTGAAATTTGTTTTAATGGAATAAATGGAATAAAAAATCTTTAAATTTGTTTTAATGGAATAAATAATACAAACTAAATGCTTTTGGACATTTTTTTAATGTTCATTTTCACAGTCCACCCCCTAAAAAAGCAAGTACACACAATTCCTAGCATTCAAAAGACATTCTATGTCTATGAATATGAGGTTTATTCTATTCAAATAAAAAATTTAATGTCAGAATATTGATATTATGAAATGTACATTTGAACTTTTAACATCATCATCTTAACACCTGGCCAATTATGACAGACTTAGTTGATAATGGAAGACTTTAATGGATGAGAAAATGGATTCAATTTCCAAAAGGTAGATATATAGTTATTGATAATGTTAAACTACTCAAGCACCAAAGGATCAATGAAAATGATTATAAGTTAATAGCAGTTAAGAGAAATAATTATATTTTTTAAATGAAAGGATATGAGGCGATTTACCAGTGAGACATACTTTTCTTTCCCCCAATTTGGAAATGTGTATCAGATTTTATAATTTGTTTAAAATCCTTGTTAAATGTCTATGTGAGATTCGTAGGTCTAAGTAATGATGAATCTGATCATTTTCTAATAATTATTTGGCTTGATTTTCCTCTGAGTTGTAAAAATCTATTTCAAATAACAATATAACAACTGTTATAAAGTTCATTTTTAATAAAATGAAATTTTTACAAAAATTGACAGGGTATCTATGAATTTTCCAATCTGAGATGGATGTAACTTCAGAGAGTTATGTAAAGTTATTTAGTTATATACAATTAATATCCTTATTGTGTTCCTATAAATGTAAAATTTAAGAACTGTTTTAGTTTGCTACCCAGCAATCAATTTGGCTTCAGAAAAAGAATGCTTTACATGCTGTTTCCACTATCTTAGAGTTTCCAATAAGGAAGATTGAGGTCTCTGGGAAAGAAATAGACCATTTTCATTGATTACAGAAAAGCTTCAATTTTGTCCATAGAAAATATGTAGTCTCTATTTGTAGAAAAACTGAAGTCTATGTTTGAAATTAATGAAAAGCTTTTAGGGTTGCTAATTTCCATCCTTGAGAAAATACTAATTAGTGTTTTCAATTGCATCAACTTGTCAGAACCTATTAGCCAGTTCATTAGTATCTTCCAAAAAACTTTCTCAGCCATAGAGTAGGCCATATACCTTCTGGATGAAATAAGACGTTCCCATGCTTTATAAAAAGGACAATGAGGAATTTCTCAGAACTGCTCTACTTTCTGGTTTTAGGAAAATTTTTACATCTATTATACTGAGAAGGTCCAACTTCTGGATGAAACAAATGAATTTGATAATGTGACAATTTGTTTTTTTTTTTTTTAAATGTTAGTACAAAATTGGTCCTTTTTGCCTTGATGTCTACTGTTCAGTTACAACTGATAAAAATGCAATCTTTGCATTGTTTTTAGATGTGAATAAAAATTATAATTCTGTCCTAATATTCAAATTACAGCATAAAAGGTCTGTCTATCAAGCTGATGCATTATTAGATCTCTTTTTAATACTGTAGATAATTTTCTTGTTTCATAAAGACTGAGTATCCATGTTTTAAAACAACTAGAGGACTACTATAAGACAATTTTTTATTACCTTACCTTTTTAATTTTTACATTTTTTGAGATGATTAAATATTATAACTGTGAGAAGGATGGCTTTTTAATTAATTCTCCAGTTATGTATTCTATATCTTAAGCAGATGATATAGTCATTTTGGCACTAACAGCTGCAACTTTACAGCAAAAAATTAATTAGATACTTTTGTATTGATTGGGATTTGTCTAATAATCCTTCTAAATCTTCAGCTATGATTTCTCATAATGAAAGTAAACCTGCTAAAGGGGTGTTCTCATGGTTCAACAACAGTTGAAAGACTATTGAAATGGTTAGGTGACCAACAAGTTATTCCCAATGTTTAACCTAAAACTGAAAAAATGAAATTTGCAATTTAGAATGACAAATTCTTGAATTACTCAAGTTTCAATCTGCTGGAAATGACTCATCAGTTGACATCTAGTTATACAACAAAAGTTAAACCCATCTGTCATTGCTTCAACTAACCAGTTGTTCCAACTAAGTTAAAATCAGATTCACCATGCTTCTATGTACATTCAACTGATTTTCAACTTCTAATTATTCAATGATAGTATATAACTTCTATTTATTCAATGATATGAGAACATCCCTTAAAGACTCAAGTAGATTTTTATATTAAGATAAAGTTAAATGTTTAGATGTTGTGTTGACCATTTTTAAACCTTTTTTTAAATATTATAAGAATTGTTTAAGAAAATCTACTAGACTGATTGTTAATTTAATTATTTTATGTAAAATACTGAAATTAAGAATATTTTTAATATTTTTAAATTGTTTAACACAGCAATTTATTTATCATCATCCAAAGTCAAAGAATTTTGAACTAAACCACAAACTTTATCATTGATACATTCTAGTTGATCTTTTGTTTTAAATTTTTACAAAAGCTTATCAGATAATGAAGTAAAAGAAAAGATTGTTGTTCTTGTTATTATTATTAAAATTGGCTAGTTTGCTGATTGTGTTACAGATTCAAGACGAAAATAATCAATGTAATAGATACAGAAAATTGTTAGGTAAAATGTACAAAAACTTAGTATTAATAAAGTACATAATATATTAAAAATTTTTTATGACATCATTTTTAATATTAAAAAAAAATAACAAAAGATTATAATCAGCAAATTCTGATAAAATTAAAGTGAACAAATATAAGTAATGCAGAACCATTCTTACACTTGTTCTATATCAAGCATCAAACATTTTACTCAGATTGGACTGGTTTCTTATGTCCAGGCCACAAATATCTTTGCATAATCTTAATATTTATAATTCTAATTTTTATATAATAAATAAATATATATATATATTAAAAAATATATATACACACACAGGTATACCTCAAGTTACATAGTTCTCAATTATATGGCGTTTGTCAAAAAATATATGAAAAAATAAAAATCAAGTTTAAGTCATCTTATTCGACTTTACATCCTTCTGCCACAAATATTGAAGTTGTAATATCACTATAAAAGCGTTAAAGCACATAAAATCATATTAAAATATGTACATTTACAGTAAATGTTAATATAATCATCATAAATCCTAAAGAACGAAACATGAAAACATCTTTGTTTCTGTGTTGTCATCTTATTTAGCGGTCTTTAAGTGCTCGATATTCGTGTTTTCCACGGTAGTTCCAATATCTACTGTTTGGCGTCGTTATCAGTGCCACTCGATATTGGTAAATTTAATATAAATTAGTTTATTTTCTACTGTTGCAAGATAATTTTAATAACTGTATTTGTTATTTAACCTTACAGAATCATTTTATTTTATAATGTCTTAGAGCAAACCACATTTACAAATAGAGTCTGCAATTCACTGTAAACATCGCCAAATTGTAAACATGTACATTTACAAGTACGTACACACAGTACGTACATGTATTCGTAAATTTAGATTACCTTTTTTTTCTGTACTATATTAAAAACTAAAATTTTTTGTAAGCTTAAAATAGATTCTTATTAACTATATATTGAAAATTCATTTATAAATAAAATACAGAACTGGGAATGGTTATTTGTGGTTTAGTCTAGTGACAGGTAAATTCAACTTAAGTCGCCTCTCCTGGAACCGATTACTGACGTAACGTAAGGTATAACTGTATATATATTTTTAATATTAACTTATTTATTATTTTTGTCAATATTAACTTTATTGAGAGTTCCCATATCTTTAAAATCCAGATTGGCACCTTATGCAACTATAAAGCCCTGAACTGATGCAGGATAAAACAAATACAAATTTTATTTGTTTGTTTTATCCTGCATCAGTTCAGGGCTTATTTTAAACTTTTATAATATAAAATTTATTTATATTATAAAAGTTTAAAATAATTTCATTAAAAAGAAGGTCCATCTCTTATGGAATATTAAAAAACAACATTTGTTTAAATATTTCAATTGTAACTTAAGCAAATAATAATGTCCTCCTTTCATCGTCATCAAATTTTAATTGTATACACACACATATTCTTATAATTATATAAGAACATTTGTGTATGTAATTATTTTGAACAATAGAAGTATTGTTTACCGTAAAAAAAATAAATAAAAAATGCTTACAGTTTAGTATACAATGTCCTCCAACATGGACTCAATGAATATGGTTTGAAAAGTGGCCACTGTCTTTGGACATAACATTTCCATTGTTCTTGAGTTGTTTCTACTTCCATAACTTGTCTCCATCGTTTACATACTTGACCACAACACCATAATGATAGATCATCAAGGTATGAAAATATAACAGCAAGAACTAGAAAGAAATATTAATGTTAATTTTTAATATTCTAATTCAAGTCAGTATTTAAGTAAATATTCTAATTATAAAGCAATAAAAATAATACAATAGTACATCACCAATTCAGACTAATTGAGGAAAAGCTTAGTCAGAATTAGTAAAAGTCAAATTAACAAGGTTTTTACTCAAATGCATATTGTATGGTCCAAAAAGTATACTTTAAAGTCAATTTTATTGGTCACTTTAAATGAATAAATACAGCAGTTTGATCATCTTTTACACAGCAGCAGCAGCATGGTTCTTATCATTGCCAATGTTAATTCCAAATACTAATTTGGAATTAAAAGAAAAAAAAAAGCTAACTGGGCTACAATTTGAAAAAATTATAGACCTATAAATTCCCACCATCATCCATCCGTCTTTCCTTAATCTCGAGAACAGAGTTAGATAGATGAAAGACAAGATGTGGAAAGATTAGGGGCAGGAGACTCCAATTAACTATACAGTAGAGCGTCAATTATCCGAAAGTCAATCATCTGAAAGAATTCCAGTCGGCAAATTTAAATTTTCACCAGTCTGTGGCGCTGCAATCTTTGTCTATGTCTTGGGCTACTTAAATATTTTACGTTTTTGATACTAAATTAACTTCTGAAGTATAATTTTTTATTGTTTTTATATTTTTCAATATATTTATTTTGTTCGTATAAAATAAAAAAATAATTTTTAACGACACAATAGTCTTCATTAAGCTTAACATCGACGAAAATTCAACACGAAGCGACATGCAACAGAGAAAAGTGTCAAGATGGGATAAATTAATATATTTTTTCGTACATAATCGGTTATCTGAAACATCGATCTTCCAAACAACCCCAGTCCTCAATTGATTTGGATAATCGACACTCTACTGTATATACAAACTTCCAATGCAAACCAGAAGTTATGTTATCAATTCAAAAATTTTCCCCTGAAAGGAGTTAATAGATGACCAGCATGACACTACTATTAAAGGAAAAGTATGATTTACAGGGGCAAGCCACTACTAATGAGGAATAAAGAATAAATTTTAAATTAAATAAATTTTAAAAATATGATTCAAAATTGCAGCTCAGCATTGTAACAATATCACAATGAATAATTGCTTGTTTTTATTTGAGATTCATCTTCAAACCATTTCTTGATCACATTTTGACACACGTGTAGAGTATGTAAATGCTATGTTATGCATAAAATTAGTAAAAACATAATTAGAATAAATATTTTATTTCTCAGTTTCTCATATTAAAATTGATCTGAAAATACAAAAATTATACAACTAAGAAAATTTAATATGTTTATAGAATAAAAAAAAAACTCAAAGAATTTCATGATATAATTATAAATTAGAAGTTCAGACTATTTACAAAAAATTATTTAATTTTTGAGTCTATCAATTAATTCTTTTCATGCACCATAGAAGTACACCTTTTACATTGGTATTGAAGAAATCACTTCATAAAAAAACAAACAACAATAGGTAAACATCCACATCTTTAAAAATGACCGGACGTCAACCTTTTATTTTAGGTTCTGATGCCTTAACATTAAAAAAATAAAGTAAATCTTCTCACCCTACTATCAAGTTTTATACAATTTGTATCAGGTTCAAGCCCTCTAGTGGTGGATATGAGTTATCTTCAATTTGCATGTAGTTACAATTTTTATGATGAACTCAGGATACTTTTCCAATTATAAATTATCAAAAATTAAATAATTTTTTGTAAATAGTCTGAACTTCTAATTTCTAATTATAATTAGAAAAATATCCTGAGTTCATCATAAAAACTGGAATTTGATGATAGTTTATTTCTTATATGCCAGAAAAAGCAAACAGAAATTGCACATTAAATTTTTTTCCAAATTAAACATTTCAGTTGTAAAAAAAAGTGTGTGTAAAAAATACACACTGCCCATCAAAAGTTAAGCACAGATCACAAAAACGACAATATTTTCAAAACCACTTAAATAAATTTATACAACTTTCATAGATGTATACTTTAGGTATACACTATGTTTTTGGGAAAAAATGAGTGAATGTTAAAAGAAAAAATAAAAGGTGAATGCAAGTAACAATAAATGTGAATACGTAAAAGGAGGTTTGAATAGGTTAAGGTCAATATAAAATGTGACCTCCTCATTAATGCAAGCTTGACAGTGTCAATTCATACTTTAATAAGAAATTGCAAAAAATGAGAAGGAAATGATTGTCATGCATACAAAAGAGTGGTTTGGAGGTCATCAAGGTTTATGGAGGGGGTATGACAGCTGAAACACATCTCCCAAGAGTATCCCATAAATGTTCTATGGATCTGGAGAATATGCAAGCCAATCTGTTCATTTTATTTTCTCTTCATAAAGGTATTGGTCAACAAGTCTTACTTGATATGGACAAGCATTCTTGTTCATTAAAATGAAATCTCCAATTGCAGCAGCATAAGGTGCTCCAGTATCTCATCATGATACCTATGAGAAGTAATGGTACCTCCATCAAATACAAGGAAGTCAATGCAACCTAGAATGAAAACCTAGCCCAGTCTTTCCACCACTGCTAAAAGCATGTCTTTCCATTATGTTCTGTGGTTTGTAATAGGTTCCAATCTCCCTCCAGATTGATATACAACTGCTGATAGATTCCAGGGAGAGCCTAGACTCATCTGTGAACAGGACATGAATCCACTGTTCTCAAGTCCAGCCTACGTACTCCTGAATGGGCCCATATGTCTGGAAACTGAAGCCACACAGAGCCAGTTGATGAGCATAGAGTCCAGCCTTCTGAACATCCCTAAGTGGAACTCTTGTTAGAGAAAATTTCCTCTCAGTCAACCGAAACTTGTTTGGATTAGTGGTGCTCAGACTAGCGGAACTCTATTGTACTTGTTTTTTCTCTAATGAGCTTAAATTACTTCATGAAATATGCAACAGAGTCCCATCTACACTTCAATTCTCAACTAATCGCCATCAAACAAAACTGCTTTATTTGGAAATACTTCCACACATCATTTCAATACAATATATAAACAGAGTGCTTTCAGTGCTGTGCTCCGTCTTCAAAGTTTTATAGTTCTTAAAATTTTAAGGACTACACATCATGGAAGTATTTTTTTATATTTGAATACTCTCAGTTTTTGCATGTTATTCAGAAAAACTTACCATTAGGTGAAACTAATTTATTTTTTTCTTTTTCTCAAATATAGAATGTATACTGTATAGTACAGGGGTGGCCAACCTGCGCCTCGCGAGCCACATGCAGCTCTTTGAAGGGTTATTTGTGGCTCTCGATAAATGTACCCGAGTTCCCTTTTCATTTTTGTGTTATTATATTTTTAAAAATTATTATCGTTCCGTATGTGTTTCAAAATGTCTTTTAAATTACTAACAACAAATATGAAAGATTAAGTGCAACGTTGTAACAAGTTTCATTTCCGTCCAAGTTAAGAATGATATGACTCATCGAAAACTGCGCGAACGAACATAAACAGTGGCGTAATCGTCCGTTATCGACCGACTCCAGACCGATTTTGAATTTGTAAACTGTCATTGCAATAGACAGTTGACATTGTGCTCTGGAGGAAACAATTTGTATCACTCTTGCTACGGATATAATTTGTAATCTGGAATTTTTTGCATACCTTTTTAATACGTATTTAATTGCGGCTCGCGAAAAATTTCAAATTTTGAAAAATGGCTCGGACAATCAAGGAGCTTGGCCACCCGGGTATAGTACATCAATATATTGCATTATTTCTAATAGTTTAATTAACACAGTTTACCCTATTGATGCTATTCATTTCAACTTAAGCCTAATTATTTTCAAGTTATAAAAAAAATGGTTAATCTAGTAAATTTCAGTCTAAAAGGTAGACAATTACACTATGATCTTGTATTATTAATAATCAAATAAATCTAGCAATGAGTCGCATAACTTTCCTAGCTGCTATGAGATTTTATTTTAAAAATCACTTTTAATTATTAATCATAAATAAATAAATAAAATTATATGTGGTGCCATCTATTATGGGATTTTGTTATAAAAACTTTTCTACTTTATAATAATTTAATATACTTTATATTAAATATATAAAGGACTTAATTTTGAAAGCAGAGACGAGTTTTACGAAGTTCTGTAAATGTTAACAACAAGCAAGCCCAAACCCATAGGAGATATGACAAATGACCACCTTCTATCTCTTCCCCTTTTCAACGTTTCATCACCAAAATTTAATAGTATCAATGCCCCTTACATACAAGCTACTGTGCCAAATTTTGTTTCTTAATCTTCACCCCATCCTGAGATATTAAACAAAATAGATGCCAACACACACATGTGGAATTTTTTTTGCCAGTTTTTTGAGTTCAGGGGTCCCTTGTGATAACAGCCCTTGTATACATAACAGCCAAGAAAGTAAAATAAAATAATGTAAAAATTGTAAAAGAAAAAATAAACTTTGGAATAGAACTGAAATTGCAACTTTTGCTTATACCTATATGCATCTTTTATAATTTAAAATTTAAATTTATAAATACAACTATATAAACTGTATAATTTCTTTATACCTTCTGCTGGTAAATTTTCACCAAGACCATCAGGAAAGATGCTATCCATTTTCCGTGGACAACTAAGGGCTGAAATACATTCAGTCAGTTTATCAATTTTCAATGTTGTAATCACAATTCTTCGAGGTCTATCTTGTCTCCTTGGCAATGTTTCATAAAAATCTGAAAGAGTAGGCCATATACCTTCTGGATGAAATAAGACGTTCCCATGCTTTATAAAAAGGACAATGAGGAATTTCTCAGAACTGCTCTACTTTCTGGTTTTAGGAAAATTTTTACATCTATTATACTGAGAAGGTCCAACTTCTGGATGAAACAAATGAATTTGATAATGTGACAATTTGTTTTTTTTTTTTTAAAATGTTAGTACAAAATTGGTCCTTTTTGCCTTGATGTCTACTGTTCAGTTACAACTGATAAAAATGCAATCTTTGCATTGTTTTTAGATGTGAATAAAAATTATAATTCTGTCCTAATATTCAAATTACAGCATAAAAGGTCTGTCTATCAAGCTGATGCATTATTAGATCTCTTTTTAATACTGTAGATAATTTTCTTGTTTCATAAAGACTGAGTATCCATGTTTTAAAACAACTAGAGGACTACTATAAGACAATTTTTTATTACCTTACCTTTTTAATTTTTACATTTTTTGAGATGATTAAATATTATAACTGTGAGAAGGATGGCTTTTTAATTAATTCTCCAGTTATGTATTCTATATCTTAAGCAGATGATATAGTCATTTTGGCACTAACAGCTGCAACTTTACAGCAAAAAATTAATTAGATACTTTTGTATTGATTGGGATTTGTCTAATAATCCTTCTAAATCTTCAGCTATGATTTCTCATAATGAAAGTAAACCTGCTAAAGGGGTGTTCTCATGGTTCAACAACAGTTGAAAGACTATTGAAATGGTTAGGTGACCAACAAGTTATTCCCAATGTTTAACCTAAAACTGAAAAAATGAAATTTGCAATTTAGAATGACAAATTCTTGAATTACTCAAGTTTCAATCTGATGGAAATGACTCATCAGTTGACATCTAGTTATACAACAAAAGTTAAACCCATCTGTCATTGCTTCAACTAACCAGTTGTTCCAACTAAGTTAAAATCAGATTCACCATGCTTCTATGTACATTCAACTGATTTTCAACTTCTAATTATTCAATGATAGTATATAACTTCTATTTATTCAATGATATGAGAACATCCCTTAAAGACTCAAGTAGATTTTTATATTAAGATAAAGTTAAATGTTTAGATGTTGTGTTGACCATTTTTAAACCTTTTTTTAAATATTATAAGAATTGTTTAAGAAAATCTACTAGACTGATTGTTAATTTAATTATTTTATGTAAAATACTGAAATTAAGAATATTTTTAATATTTTTAAATTGTTTAACACAGCAATTTATTTATCATCATCCAAAGTCAAAGAATTTTGAACTAAACCACAAACTTTATCATTGATACATTCTAGTTGATCTTTTGTTTTAAATTTTTACAAAAGCTTATCAGATAATGAAGTAAAAGAAAAGATTGTTGTTCTTGTTATTATTATTAAAATTGGCTAGTTTGCTGATTGTGTTACAGATTCAAGACGAAAATAATCAATGTAATAGATACAGAAAATTGTTAGGTAAAATGTACAAAAACTTAGTATTAATAAAGTACATAATATATTAAAAATTTTTTATGACATCATTTTTAATATTAAAAAAAAATAACAAAAGATTATAATCAGCAAATTCTGATAAAATTAAAGTGAACAAATATAAGTAATGCAGAACCATTCTTACACTTGTTCTATATCAAGCATCAAACATTTTACTCAGATTGGACTGGTTTCTTATGTCCAGGCCACAAATATCTTTGCATAATCTTAATATTTATAATTCTAATTTTTATATAATAAATAAATATATATATATATTAAAAAATATATATACACACACAGGTATACCTCAAGTTACATAGTTCTCAATTATATGGCGTTTGTCAAAAAATATATGAAAAAATAAAAATCAAGTTTAAGTCATCTTATTCGACTTTACATCCTTCTGCCACAAATATTGAAGTTGTAATATCACTATAAAAGCGTTAAAGCACATAAAATCATATTAAAATATGTACATTTACAGTAAATGTTAATATAATCATCATAAATCCTAAAGAACGAAACATGAAAACATCTTTGTTTCTGTGTTGTCATCTTATTTAGCGGTCTTTAAGTGCTCGATATTCGTGTTTTCCACGGTAGTTCCAATATCTACTGTTTGGCGTCGTTATCAGTGCCACTCGATATTGGTAAATTTAATATAAATTAGTTTATTTTCTACTGTTGCAAGATAATTTTAATAACTGTATTTGTTATTTAACCTTACAGAATCATTTTATTTTATAATGTCTTAGAGCAAACCACATTTACAAATAGAGTCTGCAATTCACTGTAAACATCGCCAAATTGTAAACATGTACATTTACAAGTACGTACACACAGTACGTACATGTATTCGTAAATTTAGATTACCTTTTTTTTCTGTACTATATTAAAAACTAAAATTTTTTGTAAGCTTAAAATAGATTCTTATTAAACATATATTGAAAATTCATTTATAAATAAAATACAGAACTGGGAATGGTTATTTGTGGTTTAGCCTAGTGACAAGTAAATTCG